ATAAGTTAAGTTCTTTTCCTTCGTTCTGAAAAGTATCCACTGTGTTCTTTCTTTGCTCCTCTGTTACTTTATTTTTCTTCTATACGCCCAACAATAAGTCTCTTGCATAATGTTTCCTCTGCCCTCTAGTATAATGTGGTTGATGTGTTATTATGATTAAAAATAAACCTATCAACGTGAATATTATCCAAAATCCTTCCTATTTTGATGAAGCACTTACATGATAGGATAGAAATATGCATATTGGTAATGCAACATTTTTTTAAATTCAATGTGTGGATAAGTATATTTAAACATTCGTTCCATCTTCATACTCTTCTCAATATCCAAATTAAAACTTTAAATTATTAAAATATTTATAATTTATTAAATAACATAAAAATTATATATATTATTTCTCTTGTTCTTTAATTTTGTAATTTTTTTTTTATTTTTTTCAATATACGTTTTTTCTCTTCTATTTTAATAGTTTGGTTTATCTAAGTGATACTTCTTAAGGCAATGTCTGATGTGTCGTCTGATGTTGTGTCGTCCGATGTTGAGATCTTTGACTCCGATACAAGTATGATTTTAATTAGTATCATGTGCATGCATACTTTAGAAATATAAATTTCAAACGTGTATTCATTTTGTAATAGAAATAATACGTGCATTTAAATACAAAAATACGTGCAAATATGAAGCTAATTAAGTGTCTAAAAAATATAATATTTTGAGAAACAGTTTTTTATTATTGGTTAAGTTATTTTTTAAACCATCTTGTCCAGTCAACCCAACTTTAGGGTCAACTTTCATGAGCATTACAAAAGAAATATGTTTCATCATCAGCATTACAAAATAGGTTGAAATTATAAAAACATAGCTTTAAAATATACATAAATATATTTTAAAGATATAAAAGGTTTAATTTTTTCTAAAACATATGAACAAAGATAATTAAAACAAGTAAACAGTGGTGTAGAGTCTAGAAGCATGAATAAGAAAATGGAGCAGAAACTACGTACCTTTGGTGTTTCTGCTTAGGTTCTTGCTACACACCATTTTGTCCAATACCAGCCACTTGTGTGGGTATATTGTAATCATAAGCATTTGTTAAAACAAACCAGAGGGTCTTTTAGAATAGCTGTTGAGGTGGTGACAAGTAGAGAGTTCAAAATCCCAGCTCATAATAAATAGTATAATACAGTGTGGTTTGATCAAGAAAATAATATACTAGAGCATAGACAGGTGGGATGTGAACAACAATTGAAGTTTAATTCCCGATATATATTTATATATATATCATAGATTATAGTATATTTTATATTATATTATATATATATATATATATGATATACTATTAATATCATATATATATAATAGATACAGAGACTACAATTAGTGGCATCTTTCTGCATAAACAAATTAACAACTATATTCCAACGATTGTTTTAACTCCTGCAAAACTTCCATGTCACGTGGAAGAAAAATAGTTAATACTTCCCCTTTCAATATTATATGCTAAAAGATAGTAGCAAGTGGCATTCGTTGTTTAGTTGTTGTCGAATCCATTCATCAACACAGTTGACTTCGAAACACTGTTTTGCCTTCCCATCTCATCTCCGCCGTTTGCATTTGAGACAACTATGGCCGAATCATTTCTCTCAGCATTGCAGAGTCCTCATAGCAAAGCTTGCTTCTCGTATTTTAAGAAACTTCTCATTGGTTGGGTTTATACGACGATTCTTCAAGACCTTACCAACACTTCTCTTTAAGTCAAGGATGGTGCTGTTAGATGCTGAGCAAAAGCAGGCGAGGATCACAACCATGAGCAGCCCGTCGATGGCTCTCAACTCAAAACTGTTTTCCCGATGCCGAACATGTTTGGATGAATTTGAGTGCCAAACACTGTCGAAAGAAAGTGGTTCCAAAAAGCTCCTGGTAGCACAAAGACAAGGTGTAAGTCACTACCTTTATCAAGTTCTATCACATTGTTTTTCGGGTACAAAATGGCTCAACAAATGTAAAGATGATCAACAACAGACTAGAAAAGGGTTGCAGCTAATAAGCATTCAAGTTTAGATCTTAAACGAGTGATGTTGAAAACGTGTTGTTCATCGGAGAGAATGACACACTCTCGGTGTGATGATTCAGATGATGGATAGGAAGGAAACAGATAAGAAAAGATCAAGAGCTTTGATGCAGCAGACATCTGGAGTGAGATAGCTGATACAAGTCTCTTGTTAACCCCATTGTGGGGATTGGAGGCTTGGGAAAAAAAAACTAACACTTGCACAGTTTGTGTTTCAATGATAAGAAGAATCAGGAGTGATTTTCCATCGAAGAGTGGGGTGTGTGTATCATGACTTTGACATTAAACAACTGATTTCAAAATCATCAATTCCGTGAATGATTCAGAATCTGCTCATGCTCCTATTCACCAAATGAATTTGAAACAGTTAGATCACTGGAACAACTGCAAAATTCAACTGAAAAACAAACTTTCCGGTCAAAGTTCTTACTCGTATTGGACGACGTATGGAACGAAGACGGTTTAATGGTATGAGTTGAGGAACTTAATCCCAAGTAAGTGCAGAGTAAATCCTTGTGACTACACGAAGTCATTCAATTGCTTCCATGATGGGCCACAATTCCTCTCATATTTTAGAAGGTCTTTCTGAGGAGATTCAATATCTGTGTTATCCAATGGGCATTTAAAGAAGAGAAGAGAGAAATATCCTCCTTAGTAAATATTGGGAGAGAAATTGTGAAATGCGGAGGGTTTCCTTTGGCGTGAGAACATTAGGCAGTTTACTATTCTCAAATTTGAGGCCAACGAATGGAATATGTGAGTCAAAAAAATGAATCTGGGAATTGCTCTCAGAAAAAGGATGACATTTTAACCTGCCCTTAAATTGAGTTTATGATCTCATGCCCCCTAATTTGAGGCAATGTTTTGCATTGTTTTCCCTTACCCAAAGATTATTAAAATATCATAGTTAAATGAAATGATTTTTGCTTTGGGGGCCACTTGGACTCATCGCATTACCAAAAACGGATAGAAACGTGAAGATGTATCCAATCAGTATTTGCAGGAACTCTGTCAAGATCCTTTCTTTCTAAGATTTTCAAAACTTCGGTCACTGTGATAGATTTCAGAATACATGATCTGGTGCATGATCTCGCCGCCTATTGTTGCTATGGATGAGTGTCTCTATATCAATTCCAACATTCAAAATATTCCTGATAATATTCGGCATCTGTCTTTTGCCGAAAGGGGTTTGTTTAGCAATTTAGTCACCAAAAAATAGCAGCTGTGAGAACCGTCCTGTTTCCAAGAGGTAGCACTGCCAACGGTAAAAGCTATACTAAAGACTTTGTCTGGAAAAGTTTCAAAAATGCTTGCGTTTTTTGGATTTTGAGTCGTGCAACATTTGAGACTTTGCCTCTAAAATTAGCTAAGTTGAAACATCTGAGATATCTGAACATTGGCAAAAATCCCAACATTAAGAGACTCCCCGACTCTATCTGCAAGCTCCAAAGTTTGCAAGTGTTGAGCCTTGAAGGATGCGTGGAGCTGGAAGCATTGCCCAAAGGATTAAGAAAACTTATCAGTCTCTATTGTTTTGAGTTTTCCACAAAGCAAACTGTTTTGCCTATGAATGAAATCGCCAGCTTGGGGTCGCTTAAATTATTGACTGTTGGATCATGCCATAATGTGGAATCCATATTTGGAGGGATGAAATTTCCTACTCTTAAAACATTGAAAGTTTATGACTGTCAGAGTCTTAAGTCTCTGCTGCTGGAGGGTAAAAATTTTCCTCAATTAGAAACATTGCTTGTTCAAGAGTGCAGTAATTTGGATTTGGAACTGTGGAAGGGAGATCATGAAGAACAAAGCCCCAAGCTAAAGTTAAAATGTGTTCTATTTTCAACTTTATCACAACTGGTGACCTTACCTAAATGGTTTCAAGAAGCTGCCAACTCCTTACAGTGTTTGATGGTTATGGATTGCCACAAATTTGAATCATTTCCAGACTGGCTGCCAGTTCTGACTGATTTGAAAACTCTTAAAATAAAGAATTGTCCAAAGTTGGTATCGCTCCCGGATAACATCCATCTCTTCGGCGCCCTTGAAAGTTTGTGGATTGAAGATTGTGCAGCTGACTTATGTAGAAAGTATGAGCCACATATTGGAGAGTTTTGGCCCAAAATATCACACATCAACAATATTTTCATTGATGAACCGGAAGATTTAGATGAAGAGTTTTGGCCCAAAATATCACACATCAACAATATTTTCATGGATGAACCGGAAGATATAGTTGAAGAGTAAGACTTTGTCCGCAGTACCTTGTTTTCTTTATTTATTCTTTTATTAAGATGTTTTCCATAATGTTGATTTCTTTTTATGGTTTTTTATTTTGTCTTTGTGAAAATTAATTGTAACTTTTAGTTAAGACAATTCAATTTAGAAGAGGTGGTTGTGTAACAGTGCTACTTTTTTGGATTGGCTGCTATTTAGAAAAAAATCCACACAGTTACTTTGCATCTTTTACTTTTCATGATTTATCGGTTAATGATAAATACATTACAAACAATCCTGTAAATTGTAACGATTATTTAATCGTTTTTAATGGCCACTATATACTATTGATATAATTTTAAAAAAATGTGATATATAGTGATTTAAGACGAACTATCACAACATTCATCATTTTATACAATATATAAAATAGTTAAATAACTTAAATTAAAACTGACATAATTTTTCTATTAGAAAACAAATCCATCAAAAATAACAGCACATAAAAACATGATTATTTTCTTTATATCAGGATAATTACAATTGTCACTATTATAATTAAACATTAAATAAGTCAATTGTCTTGTCGTAATTCAGATATTTTATTATTTTTAATTATCCCCTTATACTTTTAATTTCGTAATTTAATAAAATACACTTTTAGTAATAACAGATAAAAAAGCATATCAAAATAAGAGTAAATACACACAAAAAATAACCAACATATTTTTTTCATTAATAATGGGTTTATCATTACAAAAAGTATATTAGACAATTACATCAATATAACAAAAAGTTTTTAAATATCCAAAAATATAGAATATTCTACAAATTCTGATATCATAACACGTATTAATAGATTTATAGTTCCTCACTTCTAACCTCTTCAACTTCATCATCAACTTCATCATCAAGTGGGGCACCCTTGTTAAACTCAAATCCTCCCATCCCACGCTTTTTGTAAACATTTAACAAAGTATATTTTACACTACAAAAATGCACCAGTAAGCACTATAGTTCAACAAATATATTTGTATCACAAACCAAACGGTCAAAACTCTGCTCATACTTTTCCTATACTTTATGCCTGCTGGGGACCAGATGGCAATGCCTCATAACCATCATGGTGCTGCTTACTGTTATCTCTTTCAACTGGGATGCACTTGAGGATAGCAGCTATAGGAATGCTAACTGCTCCGATTAACACGCTCAGTACCCAGAATTGCCAGTTTAGAGGCACGGTGCTGGCAAACGTTCCAAGGAATTCAACTATCACCACTTGAAATGCCACAGTGGCCAAAATTATCGACAAAAATATCCAGCTGTCGAACATGCCTCTGAATACGTTTATCTTTTCAATATCTCTGCTGTTTATCTCATTGAACACCTGAACGTAGAGAGAAAGGAAAAACAACAAGCTAAATAAAGGCAAAACAATGTATCATGTCACTTCTTTTGACATGTATGAACTTTTGTTTTAGCATCATGTTCGGAATTTCTCATGCTTGGAGTCTATAAAGTATAACCAACAATTCGAAAATGATGCTTGCAGAGAGTACCTGGCAAAATACAAAGGTGTTGAATATCAGAGTGTTGAGAACTTCTGTTGCATCCGAACCACTAATTCCGAGGAGCCTCTCCCCGTCAAAATTTAGAATCGCAAGGATAATTAATTGGTATATGCTTTGTCCAATGATATTCCTCCACATAGGTTTGGTGATGAAGTTTGCTCCCCTTGCAACAGGACGTCTTTCCAAAAGACCATCGTTAGGAGGTTCAGTAGCTAGGGCTAATGCACCAAGAGTGTCCATGATCAAGTTCACCCAAAGCAACTGAACAGCTGTGAGTGGAGCAGATCCTGAAAGAAGGAAGACTATCACCGATGTTGCGTGAAAAAGAAGAAACAGAATATCTAAATAAAAATAAATTTCATTAACAAACAAACCTGTGATACATGCAGAAAAGAAATTGATAACCAGAGCAACAACATTAACTGTCAATTGAAACTGCACAAATTTTTGGATGTTTATGTATACTGAACGTCCCCATTTGACAACATTCAGAATAGTCGTGAAGTTATCATCCAGGATAATGACATCAGCATTTTCTTTTGCAACCTGTAAATGTTATTAATTAACAAGGGCAAAAAGTGCTATTAGGAATCAATTGCTGCAAAGAGTCATCAATATAAAAAGGGAAAAAGATACCTCCACGTATGGCATACAATTCTAGGGGAGGACAGATAAGACAGCAAAGGAAAAAAATAATATAAACTATGTAACAGGAATAGAAGTTAATAAATTATAACTTAAACATAATGGAGGACAATTGTACAAAACTAAGACTACGCTTAACTCCCACATGGTAAACAAGAGATACAAACCTCAGTTCCTGCTATGCCCATTGCAAGTCCAATGTCTGCCTCACGAAGTGCTGGAGCATCATTAGTTCCATCACCAGTAACAGCAACAACATCACCAAACATACTCTTCAAATTGTTTACCAAGTTATACTTGTCTAGCGGTAAGGATCGTGCCATCACCTGTAACCATATCAAGTACAAAAGAAAAGTCAAGCATCTCAAGAGAGGATACAAATCACCAATCCTATCCCTTTCCCCTGTCCTCAAGAACTTAATCACAGAATTTGCGATGAGAAAAGAACCTGGATCCTAGGTATGGTATCCATCATTTCCTCGGAAGAAAGGTCACGAAACGTTGGACCTTCTATGGCGACACCACCCTCAGTAAGTATACCGCACTCTTTGGCTATAGCTTCTGCTGTATGTATGTTATCACCAGTAACCATGCGGATAGTTATTCCAGCAGCTTTACAAATTTGAACAGCTTCCTTAACTCCAGGGCGTACAGGATCCTTGATTCCTACTAATGCTATTAGAGTATAGCCACTATCAGGAATGTTGGCTTCCCCATGCATTTCGTTTATATCTTTGAAGGCCAAACAAAGAGTTCTCAAAGCTTCAGAAGCAAAATCATTTATAATACGAAAGACATTATTTGCATGCTCTTCGGGAAGATCAACTACTTCCCCATTGCAATCAATAATTTTGTTACACATCTTTAATATTATTTCTGATGCACCTTTGCAGAATGCTCGGACCCCTCCATCAGGAAGACCCACAAGCACAGACATTTTCTTTCGGACTGAATTGAATGGCTCAACTTTGAGTATCTTGTACATTTTACGCTGCGCATAGGCATCAAAATCAGCACCTAAAAGGCAGCCAAATTCCAATAATGCCGATTCTGTTGGGGTCCCCAATATTGTGTTCTTTCCATCTTTATCCTTAACTACTTCAGCAGAAGTATTTTGAAATATAGCCTGTAAAAGGATGTTTTGAACTCCTTCAGGTGTAGATGTTTTCAGTTCGTCTGCACTCTCGTTACCGGTTATTTGCATTGCTTTTGCACATATCCATGTCTTAGTAACCACCATTCGGTTAGTGGTCAGTGTCCCTGTCTTATCTGTGCAAATGCAACTAGCTGAACCCATAGTCTCACAAGCAGAAAGATGTCTTACAAGTGCCTTGTCATTCATTAATTTTTTCATTGCAAAAGCAAGACTGAGTGTCACAGCCAGTGGCAATCCTTCAGGAACCGCAACAACTATTATGGTTACAGCAATAGCAAAGAAGTCTAGTAACTTCAGTGCATCAGCCGTAGACCAGTTGGCAAACTCACCATTTTGTGCTTTTTCAACCAGAAACCTTATGATCAATACCACAAATGTCAGAATGGCAAATGTCAAACCAATTTTACCAATGATAGTAGCAACTCCGTTTAACTTAACCTGCAACGGGGTCTCATCCTCTCCTCCCTCGTTAATAGTTTCCATCAATTTTCCCCATTCAGTCCTCATGCCAACAGTTGTAACTAACATCTTCCCCTGACCATCCTGCACTTTGGTTCCTGAAAGAAGAAACGGTTTTTCTTCATTTACATTTACTGGTTCGCTCTCACCTGACAAACTCGATTCATCAATAAGCAAAAAGTATCCTGATATAAAAAGTCCATCTGCTGGAACTTGATCTCCAGTTGACAAATGAACAACATCACCAACTACTATATCATAAATTGAGATCTTCTGCCTTTTCCCATCCCTAGTGACCTGAACAAATATCTTTTTCTTCTCTTTGTCCAAATCCCTGAACTGCAGGTATTGCTTGTAATCACTGACAGCTGTAACTGTGACTACTAAGAATATACTGAGTATGATGCCCACACCATCATACGTTCCCCTTGGCCACCCTTCAGTGGCTATCCCTACACCTAAAGAAACTACAGCACAAACAATGAGAATGATCAATGTTAAGTCCTGCAGTGCATCCCACACAAACATCAGGAACGATCTAGAAGGTTTTTCTGTAAAACGATTGAATCCATAAATCTGTTGTCGGCTATTTATACTCTCTTCGCTGACACCTCCATCCACTGAAACTGACAGTTTCCTTGCGATGGCTTCAACTCCACCAATATTATTTAAGATCTTGTTATCGTGGCCACGAACAATAGAAGCAATCTCCTCCGGATGAATACAAAAACCAGCCTCTCTCACTTCACTCGGTAGCTTGTATTCAACTCGATTACCAGCTGCAACAGGAAACCAGTTTAGCTTAGAAAACACATAAAGAGAAAGTGATCAGTTCTAATGCAGTGATAAGAACTTTGACTACTGAAATTGGAGCACCATACCATCGATAAATTGTAAAGCTGCCTTTTGGACATAGAGAGCAATTCGAATTTTTTCCTGACAGGGTAAGCCAAATATGGTGTGTTAAAATTGGTAACTGCGAATTGACAATATACAAAAAAAAAAAATAGTAGCGATATCGTCATACATCTTATCACATGAAATGGTATTTCGTGAAATGAATGCTGAAATAAAATTTTGACAACGTTTAAGAAGAGTTTTTTTCAGGAAGCCTCGGTTAAAATTTAAGAGCAAATGTGCCAGTTTTTCTCATCTAGTCACGACTGTTTCCGAAACGAGTTAGTCAGCCAGTAAAGGGATGATTAATCATAACACTGAGTGATCATTACTATAATTTCTGTCTAAAAGAATGGAGGGGAAATCCCTTTATTAATGTGTCAACATGTAAGAATAATGAAATGAAAGACATTTTCAATTTTTCGTTCATCATCATTAGGTAGTTTGGCCATATGCAACTCGAGTTCAACTGTTATGTAACTCGGAGAAGGTTTTAAATTTCGAGTCTCGTTATTTCCTCTTAAACATACACTTATCTGTCAATCACTCAGATAATGATGTTTCAACCGAACTGCAGTGCAGCAGAATTTAAATTCCCTAAATAATGTGTTTTATTTAAGCTATCTCACTCATCTTATATCCAAGATTATCAAAAGTTGCTGTTACACATTTACACTGCAGTGCAAATATCCTGATTTCAGGATATTTTCATTTACAGAAAAGTAAATTGCATGATTTTCTTAATATAAAAGACCAGAGAAATAAAAAGGTTATCAGAGGAAGTTGTGGAAGGAAGTCTCAGGTTAAAAAATTTTGTAGTATTCATCTTGATAAGAAATTAATTTCTTACATTATCAAAGTTACAAAGGTTGTATTCTTCAATTTTTGTCTTTTAATTTATAACTTCCTAACTTATTCTAAAAACGTTTTTCGTAAAGACACAAACTGATACTCTCTGAGCAAACAAATGTTTGTAACTGTATCACTAATTTTGTGAAGAAAATATTGAATAAACTGGAAGACAATATTTGATTGATTGAAAAAAATCATACTATACTCTTCCTTAACTGTTAGTCAATGAGAAGGACCAAGATTCAGGGTAAACCATGTTTTTCCTCTAGTCTGAAAACCCTTTTAGAGGAAATATTTAGTTTAAGGAACTCGCATCAGCCATCGTTGACATGAATACGGCAGCAGAAAATTCGGCGACAGTTTACATTTGCAAGCAAATTCAATTCAAAGGTGTTCTTACATTTCCTAACATTGCTGATGCTGTGCCTTTGTTGAAATGGGGAACAGTCCAACAGACGCGTCTAAAGCGCGTTTGAAGTCATTCTCAACTCAAAAAAATGTCAAGTCATGGTTACGTGATCGTGCAGCACGATACACGCTATGAGATCATTTTTTTTCCCAACTTGAAAGGGTGTATATGGAAAATGACACTTGAACAACCATTTTTGACAACATTTAGACATGCGCACACGTATCAAAATCTGAGTGGTTCATTTTCNTTTGTCCAATGATATTCCTCCACATAGGTTTGGTGATGAAGTTTGCTCCCCTTGCAACAGGAAGTCTTTCCAAAAGACCATCGTTAGGAGGTTCAGTAGCTAGGGCTAATGCACCAAGAGTGTCCATGATCAAGTTCACCCAAAGCAACTGAACAGCTGTGAGTGGAGCAGATCCTGAAAGAAGGAAGACTATCACCGATGTTGCGTGAAAAAGAAGAATATCTAAATAAAAATAAATTTCATTAACAAACAAACCTGTGATACATGCAGAAAAGAAATTGATAACCAGAGCAACAACATTAACTGTCAATTGAAACTGCACAAATTTTTGGATGTTTATGTATACTGAACGTCCCCATTTGACAACATTCAGAATAGTCGTGAAGTTATCATCCAGGATAATGACATCAGCATTTTCTTTTGCAACCTGTAAATGTTATTAATTAACAAGGGCAAAAAGTGCTATTAGGAATCAATTGCAGCAAAAAGTCATCAATATAAAAAGGGAAAAAGATACCTCCACGTATGGCATACAATTCTAGGGGAGGACAGATAAGACAGCAAAGGAAAAAAATAATATAAACTATGTAACAGGAATAAAAGTTAATAAATTATAACTTAAACATAATGGAGGACAATTGTACAAAACTAAGACTACGCTTAACTACCACATAGTAAACAAGAGATACAAACCTCAGTTCCTGCTATGCCCATTGCAAGTCCAATGTCTGCCTCACGAAGTGCTGGAGCATCATTAGATCCATCACCAGTAACAGCAACAACATCACCAAACATACTCTTCAAATTGTTTACCAAGTTATACTTGTCAAGCGGTAAGGATCGTGCCATCACCTGTAACCATATCAAGTACAAAAGAAAAGTCAAGCATCTCAAGAGAGGATACAAATCACCAATCCTATCCCTTTCCCCTATCCTCAAGAACTTAATCACAGAATTTGCGATGAGAAAAGAACCTGGATCCTAGGTATGGTATCCATCATTTCCTCGGAAGAAAGGTCACGAAACGTTGGACCTTCTATGGCAACACCACCCTCAGTAAGTATACCGCAATCTTTGGCTATAGCTTCTGCTGTATGTATGTTATCACCAGTAACCATGCGGATAGTTATTCCAGCAGCTTTACAAATTTGAACAGCTTCCTTAACTCCAGGGCGTACAGGATCCTTGATTCCTACTAATGCTATTAGAGTATAGCCACTATCAGGAATGTTGGCTTCCCCATGCATTTCGTTTATATCTTTGAAGGCCAAACAAAGAGTTCTCAAAGCTTCAGAAGCAAAATCATTTATAA